TTTTGTGGTGTTTTTTCCAATTTAATGCTGATGTCATTTACCTCATGTTACTAAACATTTTCTGTTACACTCAGACTCCGTGCTTGCGAGAGGGGAAGTATTGCCTCTTAGAGGCACCCAGGGGGTGGTGTGTAATTGTCCCAGGTCACTGGGTGGGGGCTCGAGCCGGTTTTGCATTGCGTTATTGAAACGGAACCCCTAGATACAGATCCCGGCCCTTGTTGCTGCCAACTTAGATGGGCAGAAGGGTTACACTGAGAAGGCTTAGAAGTAGCAAACTCAACCCACAGAGATAAGGAATATCTAGCATTGCTCTGGAATGTATCTGTCTAGCCCAGTGGTCTCCAAACTTTTTTGATTGCACACCCCTGTCAGTAAAAAAATGTTGAGCACACACCCCCTGCTGCGCCGAAGCGAAAAAATAAAACAAAACAAAAAAACCCCCACCACTCGGACTCCCACCTGACGAAGCAAAGAAAAAAAAAGTGCTCTTCCTGCCACGCACCCCCAAGGATCCTCTTGCACACCCCACTTTGGAGACCACTGGTCTAGCCTACTGCAGAGCAGCATGGAGAGAGTTTTGCCCAGCCTTTCCTTGAATGAAAGGGCAGACTGAGATCCAACATGGTGCTTTAGAAGGGGGAAGATACAAGACGAAGGCAAACTGCTGCCCTTGAAGGGAAGTTACCTGCTGAAAAAGGCATGAATGCCTCATTCTTCACAAACTTTCCATCTGTGGTGAGGAAATGCTGAGGATAGAATTCTCCAGGCTTCTCCCACCGAGTCTTATTACACAACACAGAGGCCAGTAAGGGGATGATATAAGTACCCTAAAAATCATCACAAAATAAAAATTAGAACAGTCAAAACTTTTCCACTGAACTGTGATTTAAACCAAAAAAAAAAAGGCATTTTGTTGGCAACAAAAAAATTTGTGGAAAAATTCCATTTTTGGCAAAATTTCCACAAACTAAATATTTTACTAATAGCCAACATTTTTACTAAGAACTGTTTTTGAAAATAGAAAATTTTCACCAAAAATGATTTTTAAATCAAGACACAGCTTGTTTTTTCCTGGAAATTTCTATGAAATTGAAAAAATCCCAACCCTCAATTAAAAATAAAACCCTTACAATAAACCCATTGCATTTTTCTACCAGCTCTAATAAAAGTATCAGATTGACCATAAACTGTGAGCTTCATTCAGAAAGATAACGGGCCAGATCATCAGGTTTCATTGAGGTTTTTAAGGTCAGGCTTGACAAAGCCCTGGCTGGGATGATTTAGTTGGGGATTGGTCCTGCTTTGAGCAGGGGGTTGGATTAGATGACCTCCTGAGGTCCCTGCCAACCCTGATATTCTATGATCAACTGCTGTAAACTAGCATAGCTCTGCTCACTTCATTTGCACCAGCTGAGGATCTGACCGAGGACCAGTATCCTGCAGATATATCCCTTCCAGGGGTGCCCAGAGCTGGGGCTCTTTCCGCTTCCCACCCTGCCTTGTTAATAACACTGCTCCACAGCCAAAATGCTTCTGAAATAAATGTAGTCAAACTTACTAATTCTGGGTCACTGAGAACGAAAATGATGCTTAAAATTGTTGATTAGCTCTAGTTTTCAAGATATGCTATTGGGTCAGTATATACGACCCTTGACTTGGGAATGGCATAGGATAAGTGAGTTATAAAGGGAAGGGATCTCAATTTAAACCAGAAATGACTAAAATACATCTTTGACTGGATCTATGAATAAATCTATGACTGGGTTTGGACAGTACTTGCTTTTTAGGCAAAACAATGAATGATGCAATCTGAAGCTGGTATTGCGTCATCCGTGATATGAATTGCATCATGTTA